TAAAAAGGGAATAATCTTACTTTAAAGGATGATTATTCACCGTTATATATCCAGGGTCTAAAAATGCCTGGCACATAATAAGCAGTTAGTAAATATTGAACAAATAAACATGTGAATGTTGTAAGGATGAAATGAAACTTATATAAAACACCAGTACAGATGTGACAGATAGCAAGGCCTCTAATGTGGATTTTTTTTTTAAGATTTTATTTATTTATTTGACAGAGAGAGAGAGAGAGAGAGATATCACAAGTAGGCCGAGAGGCAGGTAGAGAGAGAGGGAGAAGCAGGCTCCCTGCTGAGCAGAGAGGCAGATGGGGGGCTTGATCCCAGGACCCTGAGATCATGACCTGAGCCGAAGGCAGAGGCTTAACCACTGAGCCACCCAGGCGCCCCTCAAATGTGGATTTTTTTTTTTAAGGCCATTTCACTGAATAAGGCTCAAGTTTTCATTTTCACTTTAAGAACTATGTAATCCATGAAAATGAAGAACCAATTACAGAATGTAGGACTTTAAGAAGAATAGTAAGCATGAAATATTTCATAGAATTTTGGGATGGAATACCTTAGTCCTCTAATTGAGCCATTTTTTTTTTATCATAGAGAAACAGAGATATAGGAAGCTTGAATAACTTTACCAAAGATTGCATTAACTTAATTAAGTCTTCTTCTCAGCCAGTGTTACCACAATCCTGTACTTACGTTATTTCCTATCTGAATCCCAATCAGCAGACTTTAATAAAATATATTTTTATTGTAGCATCTTGTTCAGTTTGATCTAAAGCCTTTCAGATCTTTTAAATCCTGATTCTGTCATCCAGACTATCCGTATGCTAATTAGATTTGTAGATAACATGACTTTCAAGGTTATTCAAGTCATTAACACAGTTATTAAACTAGACTATGTAGAAGGCAGAACCCACCAGAAACCTTCCCATAACATAAGGCCTCCATAGGACTGACTCTTTAGGTAAATTTACAAATCAAGTCTGATTATTAAACAAAAAGTACATTATTAAACCGTAATGTCTTTTAATATAGCCTTTAAAATTTTCACTGAGATTTCTAATAATTCCTTCCAAATAACAGGAATGAATCGCATGCTTCCAATGAGAGAACGTTCCAGAACAGAGGAAGACATTCTCCGAGCAGCACTTAAGTATAGCAGCAAGAAGACTGGAAGTAATCCTACATCAGCCTCTGATGATTCCAATGGCCTGGAGTGGGAGAATGACTTTGTTAGTGCTGAAATGGATGATAATGGCAATTCCGAGTATTCTGGATTTGTAAATCCTGTATTAGAACTGTCTGATTCTGGCATAAAGCAGTCTGATGCAGATCAACAGAAACGATAGGGTAAAATTGTATGACCCTGTTTATCAGTTGTGACCAAATGTTAAAAAACAACTAGAATGTATCAGTGGTTGTGCTGAGCCTTTTTGTAAGAGGGAGATAAGAAAACATGTTGTAAATGCTTATTAGAAAGGAATAGGAATGATAGGCTATATCTGAGTTGCTTCAGAATTAAGTGCAATTTCATCATCTGCCTTCTGCTTTTCAAAAACAATGTAATGGTTCTGTCATGTTATCAGTTAAATTTATTTTAACTCTTCTTTATAGCATTCGTGTTTACTATTTGTAGATTTTCACTTTTTAAAATAGTTTTATTAGTTTTACTTTGAATGTTTTCTTAAGCCTATTTCAGTAGTTAACTGTGAAAATATTAAGGCATTTTGTGTTAATTCTCAGCAGATGTGAAGGGAGCATGAGGAGGGACTGCCAGATCAGATTTATAAGTGTTCCCTTTTCCAACATTATTTATTCCTGTGACTTATTTAACTTTTATTATCTAATAGTAAGCACAATTGAGTTGATGACCCTAAAGAAATGCTGAAATATCAGTTTTTTCCTACACTTAACTGCATTTCCTAGTATAATAATGTTGATTCAGTCTGAACAAAGGATATGAGATGTTCAAATAGGCTTTCAGAGTTCAGACACTTGAAGCTAGTATTCAAAAGTAATATTTAAGAAAATACATATATTTAGGTCTTCACTTCCTTTTACATGCTGCCACTATAAATGAATATTGACTTTAAGTTAATTGATATATTAAATTTCTAGGTGTCATTTTTTTAGATTCTATATTTCCAATGAATGGTCTTAGAAAGATTTTACACAGAACATATTCTCTGTGCATGATTTATAAGAAAGGAAAACCTAAAAAGGCAATACGGGTATTTCAAAATAAAATCCTTTCTGGTGTGAAAGGATTCATTGATTTTATTAAGCTTTCCTTTGCCTTGTAATACAAGGTACTTTAAGGGGATGGAAGTAAGCATATCAGTATAAATAACTGCATTTGTGATATACAGTGAACTCTTCTTTTCCCTAAAGCTTGTGTCTCACTTTGAAAGGCCAAGACTATAAAGCATTCCCTAATTGCTTGTCTTAATTTTGCTGAGGATTGAATATGATTTTAGTAAGCAAACTCTTTTCTGATTTTTCCTTGGTGTTTTTTTTTTCTTTTTTTCTTGCAGCGATGACAGTGCATGTTCTCAAAAATATAGGAAGGTCCAGATATAAATAGTAACTTAAAGTTCTTGCTGTACTTAAAAAAAAATCATGTGGCCCTTTCAATATTTGAACTGCTAGGCAATGATGCTAGGCAATTTCATCTTCTTTTTATCTCATAGAAATAAATATGATGCTTTAAATATGTAAATATATTAGGTAATGCTATTATTTATGACTATCTTAACATAATTTAAGTTGTAGCTTTGTCACTGGAAATATTTTAAAGGTAATCTATATTCACATTGCCTGTGTTATGCTTTTTAAAGTTTGTATACATCAGATGTATATTTTTGGTTTGGCATAAGCTACTATTGTAATTTTTCTTGGCATTTTGTTCATAAAAAATTTTTTGAAGGAATGGTAACTTCTCAAGGATTGTGAATAAACACATTTTTACATTTAAAAATAATAAATTATTTGACCATTACTAGTTTCAGTCTAAAAACATACCATAATTATGTCTCCTTAGGTATAATTACTTTATTAAATCTGCTGTGAAGACAAAAAGGAGTGAGTTAGGAAAGCAGGATGGAACTAAATTTGAAAATATTTGTGTTTTAACTGCTAAGAAAACATTAATTTTCTTGTTTTATGTATTTATAAAAAAGACTGGAAATAACATTTTTTTATTCAGCAGATATTTGAGAATCTACTGAGTCTGATAGCTTGTTAGGGACAGAGTAGTAAAAAGACTTACAGTGCCCAAGCTCTTGCCTACATTCTGATGAGAGAGACAAGACAGTAACAAGGAAACATGTAAATAAGAAAACAACAGATCACAGTTAGAAAATATATGAGATGATAGGATGCAGGATAGCTGGGGACAAGAAAGTCTTCTCTGAGCTGATATTTGAGCTGAGACCTAACTGTTGAGCAGGAACCAGCCAAGTAAAAAGCCTGTCTATAAAAAGCATGTTTATAAAATTCCTGAGGTGTAGGAGAACGTTTGGTATGTTCTGAGAATGAAAAGATCACGGGGACTGAAGCATCATGAGGTAGAATGATATATGATATTAGAGGGGTATTTAAGGGCCAGATCATGTAAGGTTTTATAGACTATGGTTAAGAGTTAATTTTATTTGATGTATAAAGCCACTGACTTTCTGTAAGCCAGAGTGGACCGTGATCCAATTTGCATTTTTTAAAAATTCCTCTAGCTGCTGTGTAGAGAATGGGTTATAAGAGGACAAGAGTATATGTGTGATACTTGCCATGAGACATGATGTGACTTGGGTTGATAATCGTGATAGGAATGCAGAGCTGATAAACAAGATTTTCTGATGGGCTAGATGGGGGGCAAAAGTAGAGCTAGAATCCAAGAGAATCCAAGAGAACTGTAGGATAATGCATCTAGCATGGTGCTCTGGCGACCTTGCTCACTGCACATCTGTATAGCAACACTCAACCACACTCCTACTGAAATCTTAACAAAGCCCTGTGATCCTCCCCAGAACATGGCAAGATAGGCAGTCTTCCAGGAGATGGGACAAAGCCATTTATCATCTGCTCCCCTATCTTGCAGAAGGCTGCCATGAGGCAACTTCTCATCTCACTCCCTAGTTCTAGTGAAGCAGAGATTTCCACCTCACTCCCTTTCACTACATATGTAGGCTAATAGGCTGGAGTTTAGAGTTGGCTCTTCAGCAACAGAGCTGCCCTCCATTTAGGTGTCATTTGGCCTCCCTAGTCCAATGTCCAAGGGATAGCCCTAGGGACCAGGGATGTGGAACACTGACTTCATGCTGACCTTGCTTTTGCTATCTGTGGAAGTAATTAAGTCTATTTGAGCTTATTGTCTCCCTGCTGGTTAAATCTGGAAATATGACAGCCAACCTAGCAGCTACAACTACACTTCACCATAACTTTGGTTTCCAATTTGACAAATGTAGTGGGAGGAACAGATTTAGGAAGGTGAAGGAAATTAAGAGTTCTGTTTTGGAAGTTAAATTTGAGGTGTTTATGAGGAATTTATATCAAGACATCAAGAAGGTGATGGGATGCATATGTCTGTAGTTCAGAGAACAGGTCGAGGTACACGTTTAGAAGTCATTAATAAGTAAATGGTATTTTAAGTCATTATACTAGGTAGGATCACCCTGGTGCAGCATATTGGCAGAGCAGCCCAACTAAGTGTTGATATTTAGAGGTCGGGGGTAGAGAAACTGGCAAAAGCAGCAGATTTAAGATGGATGCAGGAAACCAAAGAATGTGTATCACAGGAACTACCGGTGGCCATGTGCCACCACGTGGAGTGATGTATGGAGATTTGGAGCCAATACACATTGAGGGGCAGAGCTAGAGCCATCTTAATCCCCAGTCACAGCCTCTACCTGAGGCCTATGGCACTCCTTCCTTAGAGTAAGCAGTCTAAGAACAGTTCTTTCCCTTCTCCAGAATGAGTTTCAAAGAACATGGTTACAGAATTAAACTTTGACTTTATTATATGCATGAATGTTGTTAAAATTTCAAATTCATGGAATTTAAAAATGCATGGTACATAAAAGTCAATGTTTGGTAAGAAAACTGAAAAAGAATCCTAAACATAGCAATGGTTCATTAAAATGTCCAAAATACTGGTTTTAGATACTGAATATATACAAGGAAAACTCTATTTTTGGGAATAAACACTATTATTCTACAGAAAGGAAATCATAGAAAAGGTATTATTGCTCAGATAGGGCTTCCTATACTAAAACCACAATGATGCACTGACAGTTCTCCAAAACACATTACGCTAGTACCCTAGTACTGCAGGTACCAACAGGCTACACCACAAGTAACAACACGCCCACAGCCTTGACCTTGAAAAACGGCTACGTGTGAAATAATATGACCAAACCAAGAGACTGTTCCTTACAAAACAAAACATAGGACTAAAAGCAAGCATAAAAAGAAAATAATCCTACTGAGAACACTATCCCTTCATCAGCACGGATACTTCTTGTACATTAACCCTCACAGATGTACACTTAAATATGCTTAATAATTCTTAATAATACACAGTAATTCCAAAATACATCTAGGAATGTAACAAATGACTAAACTGATGACTAATACAATTTAAAAACTTCAAAATGATAATAAGAGTTGCCAAATTTGACAACAGATGACTGTAATATACTAATAAACTGTGAAGTATCCATAAAATGTCTATAGATTTCTTCATCCTTCATGATTCTCCTCTCAGCCCTCCGTGTTCAAAATTCATTTTCATCCATTTCTGTAGGAGAAGTGTTTTGGGTGGAGAAGAATGGGTAACCACCATACTCCGGTATGGGCTTCTGGAGCGGCCAGTTGTTTTCTTGCAAGAGTGATCTTGGAGACAAAATAAATTGAATCTCAAAAAACTCTAATGACTCTCCATCTTCCTTCTCGATCAGGAACTGATACTCACCAAATCTGACCATGCACTTGTAAGGCAGGTCTATTTTATTTAGGTAGCACAGCTCCTTGTTGTCCACAAGCAGACTGGTCTTCTTACTCATGTTTTTAATTTCAAAAGAGAGAACTGAACTATCAAACTTTTTAAACAGCTGCAGAGAAAACTGAACTCGGGAAACCTGTTTGTCCTGAAAGGTATAATGACAGATGTTGGAATTTCGGCCAAATTTCACCACCTCGCTGGAAGGAAGTTTTTCTCGGTTACAAAACCTCATTGATTGGAATACACCACTTTGCTGCTGGCCAGGATGGTAAACAGTTATCTGGAGACAAGTCACTGTCTCTTCCGTATCAGCATCTTCGAAAGTGGACATGATGCGTCTTGGAATATGACTTGCCTGCAAGAATCAAACCAGCATGTTAGTACACTCCCATTTTTTAGGCACTGAAATCTTTAATTCTAATATTTTGATGAAAATCTGATAGGGATTTATTTAGACTTTAAGAAAATAATACATAGACTATGGTGAGTGCTGTGAAGTGTGTAAACCTGGCGATTCACAGACCTGTACCCCTGGGGTTAATAATACATTATATGTTTATAAAAAAATTAAAAAAAAACAATGCTAAAAAGAAAATACATAGAATACTCAATTAATTAGCACATATGTGAAATTTTATACCAAGTCCCATGAGATCTTGTGTATTACTTTTTCTTTTTTTATTTTTTAAGATTTATTTGAGAGAGAGAGAGACAGAATGAGAGTGAGAGAGAGAGAGCATGAGAAGGGGAAGGGTCAGAGGGAGAAGCAGACTCCCTGCCGAGCAGGGATCCTGATGTGGGAATTGATCCCAGGACTCCAGGATCATGACCTGAGCCAAAGGCAGTCGCTTAACCAACTGAGCCACCCAGGTGCCCCTATTACTTTTTCTATCTCTTTTTTCACTTCTAGTTTGACAACAGACCATACACACAATCTAGACAATAACAAGAAACACTTGTTAATAATAAAGTGATTTGATAGGGGCATAAAGAAACTTCAGTTCCATTCTCATTTAAATATAGTGACTTGGCCCATAGAAAATATGACAGCTATATTTTAAAAATCAGGAATAAATAATCCCTTTGGTTTGAACACCCTCAGAGGATATACACATAAAGAAAACCTACAGTTTATTAATTAAATTGGAATTAGATGTTATGAATTATAAAACCTGATTAAAGAAATTTAAAAATTATAAATAATTTCAACATTTGTTATTTACATACTCATATTTCTAGTAGGTAAAGGGTTAAATATAATAAATACTTAGCTAAGATAGGGAAGCAAGCTAAGTGTCCACTGATAGATGAACAGGTAAAAAAGATGTATACACACACACAGGTATATTATGCAGCCATAAAAGGAGATGAGATTGTGCCATTTGCAATAACTAGGATGAACCTAGAAGGTATTATCTTAAATTAAATTAAGTCAGACTGAGAAAGACAAATACCATATGATTATACTCATATGTGGAATCTAAAAACAAATGAATAGACAAATAAAAAACACAATATGACCTGCAAATACAGAGAACAAACTGATAGTTGCCAGAGGGGAGGGAAGTTGTTAGGCAAAATGAGTGAAGGGGAGTGGGAGATACAGGCTTCCAGTTACAAAATGAGTAAATTACAGAAATAAAAGGCACAGCATAGGGAATACAGTCAATGTTACTGTAATAGTAGTGTATTGTGACAGATGGTAGCTACACTTGCAGTGAGCCTAAGTATAGAAAAGTTCAATCACTATGTTGTACACCTGAAACTAATATAACATTGTACATTAACTATACTAAAAAAAGTACTTAAGTGCTTTATAAGCTTTATATTGTAAAATTAGACATTACATAAGTTAGTTCTAAATACCACAGTCTGTACTTCTACTGGAATTTATTTATTTTTATCAATTGTTCCCTAATGACTGAACAAACTGTCATTAGTTACATGCTAACTACTATTAAGAGCTAAATCCCTCTAGAGCTCTTGGCCCTGTGGTGCCCTCCATCTACACTTGCCTACATGCACCTTTGATAATCAGTGGAGTAAAGCAGTATAACAGGACCAGAGAATTAATTACCAAACTCTTGGAGAGATTATTCTGACACAGATCTGCCATTTTAAAACTAATTTATTTTAAAAGAATTAAATGCACACAATTTAAAAACTGATATGGTAAAAAAAAAAAAAAATTTTTTTTTAAAGAGTATCTTCCCTCCACCCTAATCCTTCTAGAGTCAATCACCATAAAAGTTGCTCTTATCCTTACAGAAATTATCTTTATACAATAAACATAACTATGTGTGTGCTCATACACACATACACACATAGTTCTATGTAGAACATAGAACTTACATTCTGCACATACAGAAAATTTTTTCTGACACAAACAGGAACAAAGTGTATTTAGTTCTAGACCTTGCATTCTTTTTTTTTTTAAAGATTTTATTTATTTATTTGACAGACAAGTAGGCAGAGAGGCAGACAGAGACAGAGAGAGGAGGAAGCAGGCTCCCCGCTGAGCAGAGAGCCCAATGCGGGGCTCGATTCCAGGACCCTGGGATCATGACCTGAGCCGAAGGCAGAGGCTTTAACCCACTGAGCCACCCAGGCACCCCTAGACCTTGCATTCTTAAATTAATAATACAAATGGGTGATTTGTTTCCATATCCACACATATACATATACCTTATATTTGAAGGCTACGGAGAATTCCTTTAATCCAGCATGGTGATAAATTACATCAACAGAGTGATGCTGACTGTTCCCTGCATTCCTTAAAAACTGTTTAGGGTTTGGAAATCAATGATCTTAAGTGAAGTTGATTTGTGGTTTTGTTTGCCATCTATATTAGATGTTGGTATCAGAATTATTATGCTGCTTAAAAAAATAAAACCAAAATGCTTTTCTTTTCTTTCTACACTTGCTGCTATTTATTTCTAAAATACAATCTTTCCTCTTGTTTTGCAGCTATGGTGCTATTTTTTTTTTCTATTATTAAATTCTTTATTTAAATTCAATTTAGTTAACATATACTGTGTTATTAGTTTCAGGGAGAAAATTTAGTGATTCATCATTTGTATATAACACCCAGTGCTCATTTATGTCAAGTGCCCTCCTTAATGCCTATCACCCAATTATCTTCCCTCCACCCACCTCCCCTCCAGCAACCCTCAGTTGCTCAGAGTTCAGCGTCTCTTATGCTTTGCCTCCCTATTTTCGTCTTATTTTCCTTCCCTTCCCCTATGTTCATTTGTTTTGTTTCTTAAATTCCACATATGAGTGAGTGCTAAAAATCAAACTCTCAATTTATTCAATTTTCAACAAATGATAGAACAAAGCAAAATTTCTTTTAAAAAAAAAAGATTTTATTTATTTGACAGACAGAGATCACAAGTAGGCAGAGAGGCAGGCAGAGAGAGAGAGAGAGGGAAGCAGGCTCCCTGCTGAGCAGAGAGCCCGATGCGGGGCTCGATCCCAGGACCCTGGGATCATGACCTGAGCCGAAGGCAGAGTCTTTAACCCACTGAGCCACTCAGGTGCCCCCAAAATTTCTTTTTTATGGATTCGGAAATATATTTTTAATTTTAAATTTACCTGTCATACATTGTTTTTGGACATTATTACATCATATCATACTACCCAAGCAAACAGGACATGCCCAGCTTGTGAGAGGAACCCTCAAAATCATGGACCAAGGATAGTAAAAATTACTATGAAACCAATGCAGCAAGAATTAACACACAATGGGTAGAACTGTGATTTGAAGATGACTTTAATTTTGATAATAAAGTCTCATTATTCAAGAAGCTGACAGCATTAAAGAGAATAATTATAACAAATCCTCAGATGATACAATTAGTGGTTGACAAGAAAAAAATTAGCTGTTAACAAGTAAAGAACCTAAAAAGGAGGGGCAAGAATCTGTCAGTGATCTCGGCCTTGTCTAGGACAGACCACCACCATTCTGGTTTGTTCTTGGGACTTCGGATAATGACAGTTCCAAAGGGAGAACTGGATTAAAAACCACTGTGTATTCTAGGTGCAATCTTTTGGTAACACCCAAATTTTGTTTTGTGTTCTTCCTATAACGAATTAGCTTAGAATTCATGCTTTTGAGCAAATCTACCAAGAAAAGTTTGCCCCATACAAGCTCTTATGCCTAGTTCTCAGGGTAGATATATTATTCACTGCAAGGGGGGGAAATTGGCATTCTGGTTTGGCTACTAGTTTCTTGGTGTGCATCAATTCTTAGGGTTTGACAAATTTTGGGATCACAATGTGACTCTCCAAAAATACTGAGGTAGACAGTACTACTGTCTACCTATATGCTGCCCCTCCCTACCAGGCCTTGCCCCTTCAGAGAGATGATACTTCTCACTGCAGTGACAATGAAACATGAATGGAAGTGACATAGAAGCTTCTTTGCAAGCAGAAGCTTTAAAAGCCACTGTGTAGTTCCACCAATACTCTTGGCCTCTGCCACCTCGGCCGTCCCAAGATCCTGGCTGGGATCATGACCTGAACCAAAGGCAGATGCTTAACTGACTGAGCGACCCAGGTGCCATGGTAGATCTTTAAAAAAAAAAAATTACTAATGTGCAAATGCTCAAAAGCAGCTTTTTGAAATGCCTGGCATAAGTTGTCAAAGATAGAAAAACAATGAGCTTATATAGACATAAAAGTGGTTACCTCTGGAGGGAACCTGGGGTCAGAGGTGGAAAGGAGACTTTTCATTGCACATTTTATACCTTTGAAATTGTTTACCATGTGTACTTAATGTCTAATCAAACATTTAACAAATATTTTCTTTACAAAATTACAAACCATCTGATTCTTATGGAATTAGATGGAAGTGGAGATTAGCTAAGTATTAAAGGGGCTAACTGTGATGATAACTGACATTAAAAAATTATAAAACAGGGGGCGCCTGGGTGGCTCAGTGGGTTACAGCCGCTGCCTTCAGCTCAGATCATGATCTCAGGGTCCTGGGATGGAGTCCCGCATCGGGCTCTCTGCTCAGCAGGGAGCCTGCTTCCCTCTCTCTCTCTCTCTGCCTGCCTCTCTGCCTACTTGTGATCTCTTTCTGTCAAATAAATAAATAAATAAATCTTAAAAAAAAAATTATAAAACATGGTTTGCCTGGTTGGCTCAGTCAGTAGAGCAGGCAACCCCTGATCTCAGGGTCATGAGTTCTCACTCCACGATGGGTATAGAGCTTAAAGAAAAAGTTCCAAAACACTGTGGTGATACATAGTAACATCTACACTCACAAATGAACCACAATAAATAGATAAATATATAGAAATGAAAATGAGCAAATGAGCCCCGCTATCAAGAACTTTATCACAGAAAGCATAATACATAAGGTGAGGGCCCCATTCTTGAGTGTCAGAAGAGTAAACCTCTCCTTTGCTGGACAGGAAGAAGTAAGTACATACTTACCTGGGAGTCTTTGAGCTGTCAAGAGAAGGGTTAGACTCTGAGGTTGCTTTCTGACTCCTCTCAAAGGAAATAAAAATAGATATGTATAGAGGTGTTATGAGCAAAAATAAAGTCTCTAGGGGACTGCTCACACTCCCACATCCCCCCCCCTGCCTCTCTCTCTCTCTCTCTCTCTCTCTCTCTCACACACACACACACACACACACACACCCCAGCTATCCCTCCCAAAGTTGGGCAAAGCCAGTAAAGAGACATACTACCTGACCTTGCAAAAAGGCTGTTTGGACCTCAACTGTCATGAACAAAAAGAAATTTCTGCTCAAAGGAGGAACCAGGTGTCCAAGCAGTTTAACAGAAAGTTTGGTGCCCCTGGGTGGTCATGCATGCCAAGAGGATTCTCATGCTTTAAGTTTGTTTTTTAAGGTAAGCTGTAGTGAAATAATGGAGTTTGTTCTGGGCCATGTGTTAATAAGCAAGGTATTCTAACAGTTTTATTTTCATCCCTCCTCAGCTCCCACCCTATGGATAATCTCAAGAGAAAGTATGTCATTGGTCGTTGCAAGTAGCCTTTTTTAAAGGCCCTCTCCCTGACCAACACCCAACACTGAGCTAACAAGAGGGAAGAGAAACCCGAAGCACAGTCAAAGGCAGGTTTATTCCCGCGACTAACCTCCCTCGCCGGTCCCACCCCCAGTGTGTCTTCGAAGACATCTGTGAACTCTACTACCGTTCAGCAGAATCACTTCTTAAAGAATAGGTTTCTCAAAAGGAGTGGTGAAAACCCAAAAAAGCAAGAGGAAAACCTTAAGAGAGCTCACTTTTGCTTCTGAGACAGGGTCCTCCTCCCACTCGACCTGATTAACCTGTTACCCTAATCAGATCTGCAGAGTCCAGCTTCTTGGCGGCTGTGGACATCCGCTACGGGGTACAGCGTGGGTTCTGGCTTCCGGAGGCTTTGCGAAATTCCTCCTTTCAAGCTGAAAACTGGGGAAAGTCCCAGAAAACAGGAGATTACTGTTTCATTTTCCTAATGAACCACTGGGGCAAGAAGGGCAGGTCCAGAAGAACCCTAGGCAGAGAACCGGAGTTCCCGGGAACCCGAAGCCCCGCGGAAAAGTCCCCTGGGGGACGCCGAGGGGTCCACGCACAATTGCTCTGTGAGCTCCGCTTGATAAATGGAATTCTTTGTTCTCTAATTAGGAAAACAAACAAACAGAACTCTTGCAAAGCACACGGAAAATTATAAAGAAAACGCATCCCATTTCTGGTATTTCCTTTCAGTAGCCCCCCCCCCCCCCGAATTTATAAATACTCCTAAATTTTATAAAGCTGGAGCCGTGCCGCATCGAATGTTCGAGCGCGCCGGGCGCTGAGCCCGCAGGAGCAGTGGGTGTGACTTTCCACCGAGCCCCGCGAAAGACTCCGGGACAAAGCTTCCCTCTCGGGGCGATGAACAGACAAGACACCCTCCCCACTTCACCCCCAGCCCGCAGCCCGCCAAGTACCTTGGGGCCCGGGAGTCGGTGAACTAACTCCCCAGAGCGGCTTCGCTTTCGGGGTTCCGCGCGACACTAATGGAGGCCATCCCGCGGAGGCCGGAGTCGGGAGACGGTCCCCGCCTACCACCCCGAGCCCTCAGCCACACTAGAAAGCGCCAGCCGGCCGCGCCGCAGCTCCTAGGGCAGGGACAGGGCGGGAGGGAGCCGAGGGGGCGGGGCCGAGCTGGGGAACCGAGGGGCGCAGACGCGCGCTAACCCCGGGAGCGGGCAGCTGCCCGCCACGGGTCCTCCGGCGCGCGCCACCCTCCTCCCGCTCCCGGCTGACTGCGCCCCCTAGCCGGCCGGGAAGCCTTCATAAAGCCCGGACGCAAGCCCCGCGCCCGCACCCTCCCTCCTCCGCCAGGTGCCTGTGGCTGCAGACGCCGGATCCACGCGAAGCCCAGACCCCCGACCACCTTGCTACGCTTCCAGGCCAGGTCTGAGGCGCAGTAAACTGGTGGGGACCTCACAGCCCCAAACAAGAGGCCCCTCCGAAGAGGATGTGGCTAGTGAGCTAGATTTTTGAAAACGGAACAGAACCACTTCAAAGTTGAGGACCCCTCACCTCTCCAGCCCTTCCGCCTCCCCACTTCAGTGTAGACCTGGGACCGGCTAGGGGCAGGCGGGGAGTTGAACTTACTTCCTAAATTAGCCAGGTGCACGGCTTGTATTATCTCATTTAATCCTGACAGTAGGGAGGGTAGGTCCCCCTTACAGGTGACTGAACTGTGGCCTTGAGAGTGGCTAAGTGTCCTGTTGAGGAAGAGCAGAGACGGGATTTGAACGCGCCCCAGAGCTCCAAATGAGTCCGTGGCTACGCATGATGCCCTCACCTTGCCCCAGACCACTCCAGGGGCTTCCTCTCCCGCCCCAGCCACCCGACAGTACCCTCACTCAACATCCAGGCTCTGCGGTTCCACAGGTACAGGCTGGTACAAGGTACATTGAGAAACACTTAACGTCCCAGGAGTCCTTTATAGTCTCCAGTGAAATAGGTAGTAGTATTTTTCCTGTCTCAGGGGGAAGGTTTGAAATGAACTAAAAGTGAAGAAAACCTCAAGACAGTACATGTCAAGAGCAGGATAGGAGTGAAACTCAGTAAGGAGTAGAACACCGAGAAGACAGGAGGAAGGACGTGACTGACATGGAAAGGGCCCACTTAACGTCAGAGTGTGGTACTCTACCAGCTAATCCTGGTAGGTGTCAGATGGAAGCCGTTTATCTGTCTGGATTCTAGCCCTGCCTTGCAGAACAGTTGCTCTTTGCAGGTCAGTTTCCTTGACAATAAAATGACATTAATACTTGCTGCTTCCCCATCTGATAAAGAGATTCTGTGGGGTTAAATTTTGACCTCTCAGTTAGATGTGATCAGGAACGGTAAGCCTGGGGAAGGAGGAGTACAATTACATATGAGGCTGTTTTCCTGTAAGGCTGCAATTTTGTTTGTTAATCATCAACATTTATTATCTCTTCTCTGGAGTGGGGATAGCCACAGTATCTTCTGGAGAACATTAGAGCATGTAGAAGGTAAGATATGTAACTTGTCAATGCCGATAAACCTATACAATAAAATAATATGATCAGAACTGGAGTTTCTGATCTCCAGCCTTTAAAATTAAGTAAGACTTGGAAATGCTTTAAAAGCTATAAAGGACTGGTGTAGTAGATGTTATTAATAATATTAATGAAGAAAATGAAATGAAACAATTGCCAAAATTTAAGATGCTGAATATCATTTCATTTTTCTAGTAAGTAAGTATTCCTAGGCTATGGATTTAGGAAGAGATTAAAAGGAACCCTTCAGAGAAGTGGATACCCCAAAAGTCAGGCTAGGATTGTTTATCAAGGCAAAACAGAGGAAAACAGTAGGCAGGTATTTTGTTGATACAAAAAAAGAGGTATTTACTATTTGAAATATCAGTGATGACTCATTTAGTGTAAAAATAACATAAAATGCCCACAATCTAGTATATTTTTCCATGGAAAGATTCCATGGAAAGATATTTTTCCATGGAAAGATTCTTAAGAGTAGTTTTTGGATATTTTCAGTAGCCCATAATTAAGCAGATATACCTGAAAGCCTATTGTATTTCACTTAAGATCAAAAACAGAGGAAGCTAATTTGTGATAATACAATCACACCTTATAGGAAAAAAAAAAAAGAAAAACGTTGCTTGTTTGTGTTGCTTGCTAGTAATTGGGTTATATGAAACCCAACTTCTGTTCAATGCACTCTATGCCCATTGGATACACATTCATCCAAGCCTCCACTGCCCAGCTCAGATGCTCAGATTTGGGGTAACTGAGCTTAGGAGTGCCTCATTTCATGGCTGATGTTTTCTACCAACTGGTGAAAATACTCAAAATTACTTGAAATTTCTCATTTAACTCTTTTTCCATTATTCTCTAAATGGGAGACAAGTGGAAGCCCGAAGTGTTGGGATTGGGACAAAGGAAAGCTAGTGTGGACTTCTCTTCCTCCTCCCTATTGCTGGAGTCACGTGACTACAATTAACCCAAACAATTTAGATCTATGTGGAAAGATCTGCCAGATGCACTACTAAAGAAAAAAGCCAAAGTGCTGAACAAAGATGCTGCCATTTGTAGAAAGAACAACAAACCAAAAAAAACCTGTCTGTAAATGAATGAACTATCGGTGAAGAAATCCAAGGAACAGAATAATTAATCTGAGAAGAAGAATTTGGGGGAGAGAATGCAGAAGATCTATGTGGGGAGATATTTTTCATTATGTACTTTTTCATGCTGTTCAGAATTTTTCTTATTTGCATGCATTGTGGTTACACACTCAAAAAAAAAATCAGCTTTTAAAAGAAGAACCAAGTAAGAGGAATCTCCCAGGAGACAGGTTTCAATGCTCTAATGCCTCAGTATTTCTCATAAGATAGAAGACTACAATAGAATTCAGGTTCTCAAGAGAGTGGTCAGATGGTGAGATGAAAATTAAAGCCTGTAAAGGCAGGGTACTGGAAGGTGAAGGAGGAGGAGTCAGCCTGTTTGGGGCCATCTGTTCTGCTCCTCCCTGGAGGTAGTTGTGGGAAAGTTCTGTGGTAAGATAGCCCCCAACATACCCACCCACTGGTGTACGTAATTTATATAACCTCCTGCCCTTAAGTGTGAACAGAACCTGTGACTATGGTGGGATATCACTCCTACGACTAGGTTTCTAATCATTTGTCTTTGAGATAATCCAAAGGGAAATTATCTAGCTGGGCTGGACCTAATCACATAAATCCTTAAAAGGGACTGAGCCCTCCAGGAAGGCAGAGACATATGCCCATGTTAGCCAGGAACTGCCTATGGAGACCACGTGGCAAGGAACTATTGGTGGTATCTAAGAGGTAAGAGCGGTCCCTGGACAACAGCTTGCAAGAAAATGAGGACCTCAGTCCTACAACTAGAATTCTGCCAACAATCGGAATGAGCCTAGAAGGAGATCCAAGCCTTAGATTAGGATTGCAGCATTCTCAACTATAATGTGCCCAGACTTCTGACTGCTGGGAACAGAAATAACAGATGGGTGCTGAGGTTTTTTGTTTGTTTTCCTGTATCATAGAACCTTTATTGTTTTTTCTTCTAAATTTTTAAATATTACATAACATCCATCTTTTAGTTATGATACCAGTTACTGACATCTAAAATGTATCTTCGTGGAGCCCCTGGGTGGCTCAGTTGGTTGGGCACCCATTCTTGATTTTGGCTTAGGTCTTGGTCTCAGGGTAGTGAGATCGATCAGTGAATCAGGCTCCTTGGTGAGCAGGGTATCTCTTCATCCCTTTTCCTCCGCCTGCTTGTGTGCATGTGTATGTGCATGTCCTCTCTCTCTCTCTCTAAAAAAAATAAATAAATCTTTTTTAAAAATAAAACATATCTTCATTTACAAATATTTTATGTTTTGTCTATGGAACAGATTATTTAATGGGTGCTGCTTTATGCTGCTAAATTTGTGGTAATTTTTTAATATAACAATAGAACAGTCTACTAATAGAGTTTTTTTGTTAGAGGATCTCAGTGGATTATGAGAATCCCCAGTAGATCCAGTCCTAATAACACATTATGAGATCTAGAGGCTTTGTAAGCAGGGAAAAAAGGGTCATTTTTGGGGGGGTGCATAATTTCTACCTATCACATGTCCTCCAAACCAAATAACTTAATCTTTCCCTTGTTGAATCTAAACTTTGTCATATAGCACTCCTCACTGGTATAATTTTTAGGAAAAAACTAAAACAAAACCCAAAAACCTCACGTCTCCTTTAATATTATACTTACTTATTTACATTACATTTGTTAGTGCTTCTTATTAATTTTTAAAATCTAAGGAATCCTAGCATTCTAGCAAATAACATTTTATACTACTGAGAGATCAGAAGCTATACATTAAATAATGTATAACACAATACTTTTATTTTCTCATTTTTAAAAAAATATTTTATTTATTTGACAGAGAGAGATCACAAGTAGAAAGAAAGGCAGGCAGAGAAAGAGAGGGGGAAGCATGCTCCCCGCTGAGCAGAAAGCCCGATGCGGGGCTTGATCCCAGGACCCTGGGATCATGACCTGAGCTGAAGGCAGAGGCTTAACCCTCTGAGCCACCCAGGAGCCCCTTATTTTCTCATTTAAAAAAAGAAAACGTTGCCTTAGAGAAATGCCATACCTGGAATAAGTTCTCCATCTGGCCTCCATCTCTAGTTTTCTGTTTATGTTTACCATAATTGTGTGGCCAACTAAGTGCATAATTCAGGGGAAAAGGTTCCAGAGTTAACATTCTGGCCATTAACACCATGGAAATATCACTATTCCTTGCTGTTTGGTGGCCCTCAAGTTTATTATATATTGAATTATAGGATATAATAAAAGGGTAAAGTTAGTCTTCAGATCATCTTGCTCCAATCCAGAAGTAACTTCAGAAGTGTAACCCCTTCTGAACATGGGCTCCATGTGCACACTTTATGTAACCTAGGATGGAAAGACTTACCTAATCCAAGATGGACTCTCTATCTACGCTACTTAGTTATCTTCTTAGGATTTAAAAATATTCCTCCTGCTTTCTGCCACCACTTTACTGAATTTGTACTTGTTAAAGCGATCTTTGACCTACTTGCCAAGCCAGT